TCTGGATCGGTTATGTTGAACCCCGTCCAGAGCTATGGTTACAACACATTATTTTAAATTTACATTCATTGAAAGAGTCAGGTAAATAAGACTTTTCGTTGTCTATGAGAGTGACTACCGCAGCTGTAAAAGTGCTCAAGCGTCTAATATAAACATTAGGTTTTTTTCTATAGCTCTTCGTGAACTTGAGTGTATTCTGATATGATGTTCTCTGCTGCAAAGCAACGAAGAATGGGTCCCTTGATTTACTTTGTTTATTTTTCTTCATTTAAAGTCATTGAAGTTAGCACGAACGTGAATTATACAATAAGGTTTTTTGGAATTACTGGTGACTGCCCAGCATTACAAAAGATATTAAGCTTCATCAATCATAATGGCTATTATTGTTGTTGGCTCTGTTTTATTCGTGGTGAACATATCAATCGAAAAAGACAGTATTTTTACCAACTTCCAATTGAATATAGAACGCCGGAATCATATCAGAAACAAGGCGAAACAGCAGAAAAAGAACATCGTAATGTGTATGGTCATCTTGGAGAAAGTTTACTAAAAAATTTGCTAGATGTTCCACTTCCATATTCCATCATTCTAGATTATTTACATATTTCGTTATTACGACATACAAAATGCATTTTACCTCAACTATATCAGCAACTAACCGTACCTCAACGGCGTTCATTGGACAAAGCATTCAAAGAACAATGCTTTCCACATTTTTTCAATCGTAAAATTAAACCATTAAATAATTTATCCTTCATTAAAGCCACTGAACTTAGAAATATTATATTGTATTGTCTACTTCCTTTGATTCAACCACTGCTGCCATCCGATGTTGTCTCACACTTGGCTCTTTACGTGTGTTTCTTACGATTATTGGATTCTAAACGATTATCTCGAGGAGAAACCAGTCAAACAGCCGAAAATTTATTTAATTTATATTACAAAGATCACGAACTCTACTACACTGGTCTACAGAACTTTGTATTGCATGTCCAAATTCATTTTCCAACACTATATGAATTAGTTGGTGGATTGTGTAATATAGGAACATTTGGACAAGAAGATTTAATCGGAAGTATTAGTAAACAGAAGCATGGTAGCCGGTTTTACGGAGACTTAATTACATATTATTATAATATTAATTTTAATCTTCAAAACAAAATACAAACGTCTGTGAAAAATTCCGGTCCAATTGATCCAGATCAGATGAAACCTTCACAATATCCCATCGTTGAAGATTTTCATCAAAAACATTGTATTTGTGGTTCTGTTGATACATGTGTTACCGTCTACCGAAGATGTATTATTAAAAGAGAAACATTTCATTCTCTAATTTACAAAAAGAGAGGAAAATCAGCCAGTTACATCGTTCAGTACTTCACAGATTCTAAAAGAAGTGCACTTTCATTCGGATTTATCGAATTATTTTTTGTTTTGAAAGATAAGATTTTTGCTCTTGTCAAGAAATATCAGAAAAAAGGACTGTTTAGTGATTTTTTTAAAAGTAGTACATATCATACACATTTGAAAGATGTTCTAGATTTTTACTTTTGTATGTTAAGTTCAAATTCTTCTACTTATGCTGTAGTTTCAACTGAAACATTTTCTAAACATTGTATATTGCTTTCTTTCGATGATCATGTTGTTGTTACGCCGATTTCAGCGTATGATGAACACGATTAGATGTTTTTGTGGTAAATAACGAATGTTTTCTTTTCTGACGAGAAAAGGCAGATTTTTCCTTCCTTCGAGGCATTTACTCGTACTTAATTATTAAATGACTTTTACCTTCTATTTTAGATTAATCAGTCATCTTTCACCATGTCTAGTATCCGTGCACAAAGAAATCGTCGAGCACCGAACAATTTTACTCCTACTCAAAAAACTCCACCACCGCCTTATTATTTGCTTTATTTTGACAATACTGAATCCTACATGATTACAGCTAGGACGAGTTTAAAGCAAATCGTTGATAATTATGCTACGGTTTTAATTAAAAATAAACAAACTGATGCTGAAATTATAGCAAGAGGTAAGAAAATCGTATAATGCAGCCAAATTTTCGTTCACTTTTTTTCGTTTTTTCTTTAGGAAGCATGGAATATTGTATGATGGAACAAGCACGATTAACGGAGGAATCACATTCTCAACGTGAAGATGAATCGGGAGACGAACGTAGAGTCAAAAATGAAAAAGATTCTCTCAGTTGGCACAGCCTTACTTGTTCCTTTTTCTCTTCTAGACGGTTTGAATGATGAAGCTGAAGCTGATCAATCAACAGTAGGTGTTCGACAGAATGATTTGAATCCACTACCACATCAAAGAAATGAAAGACGTCGTAGTCTATCTCCACTTGGTTCTGTTCGTAACGAAGCACCGGCAGCTTCTCAACATTTATTCGAGAATCGTCGTGTTCTACAAGGTAACTCGAAAAACTTCTATTTTCAGTGCTTGTGACACTTTTTTCCACTTTAGATACGTCCAATACACAAGGTTCAATGCGTGATCGTTCAAGATCACCGATAAACCATCGTATGTCATCAACAGCAGGTGCAGGTGGAGGACAAAGTGGTTCGGATTGGCCAAAAGGTAAGAGATTTTAAAGTTTTCCTTTTAAATCAGAAAAGATAAACACATTTGGAAGGCAGCGTTGGAAATAACTTGAACTGGAATTGAGCTGTGGATTTCAAGCGGTTTTTGAGCGTTCTTTTTGTTCAAGAACTTATAACAACGTCTGTGCTGAACTTTTCATATTCTCTTTTGTGTTCACTTCGTTCTAGACCGAGGACATCGTACTGCTCAGTCACAACAATAAAACAACAATCGTCAATCTGCACCAGAAGAAACAGAACTTATTACACGTTTGTTAACTTTAAATTATACAATGTTTACATCAGTTCTTCCTTGTTTTTTCTTATGTTTTCTTTATAGGTGCTTCTCTAGTCCGTCTATATTCTGCCATGGATTTACATCATGGAATTCTTGCTGAAAAGATTGATCGAAAATTTAGTGAAATTACAAAAAAGATGGATAAACTGGCAAAATCAACAAGAGCAGTAAGTGATGTTTAGATAAGACAATTGTGTTTGCTCTCTGATTTTACCTTCTTTTACTTCTTTTAGGCTAATACAGAACTGGAATCCTATTTAGATCGTAGTGAGAATGATAGACGTCCTGCTGAAATGGTGCGTTTCTTCGTTTACTCAGTACTAGGTGTGGTTTGAATCTAATTTTCTGTTGTTCTTTTTTAAGATATATGATAATCAGAATTTATTGAATATTGTTGGCACGAGTTACGGCGATTATGCAAGAAAATTAATGAAAAAATTATATTCAAAAGATGATTTAAAAAATTGTATTTTACCACCAGCCAGAGATCATTTGAAACGTAATGCATTGGATGAAGAAAAATTTACTATATTAAATGGTAAGTAGTAAATTTTTCTCAGTTAAGAGCAAAAAGTTGAGCAAATCGACGAGCTTTAGGCCTTTTTTCCCTTTCTCCTGCACAGATCTTGAATTGGCTCATAAGTCGAGCAACTGGGTATAAAAAGAGCAGCTATGGTGCTCGTTGACTACTCACCAAAAGCTCATTCTCTCTCCTTTCAGAAGAACACTAAGAAGAGGTCCACAAACTATGGCTTATTTTTGTTCACATTATATTAGAATTGAGCTTTATTTCTGTTTTGAGGTGCGTTTTTTTACTCTCTTATGGAAAATGTGTCTCAAGCAGTTGTTACACTTCGCACCGACTTTTTCCGATTTTCTTTTCAGAAAAAGAAGCAAAATTTTTCCTGCTACAGTGACTACTATCCGTACCAAATGGTCGTGCAGTCGGTTGCTTTTTGAATAACTCCTCGCGGGAGATAGATAATGAAGTGCGGTTTTCAGCATTAGAAAGAGGACACTTTAAGACATCTTTTCATAAGCGAAAGTCAGTTTCAGAAAAATTTCCTAACTTCGTTTTCCAGGAGATCT